GCAAAAATAATATAAAAACAGGGAAGGGGACAAAACATAAGAGAACTCTTAAATATGGAAAAAAAACAGAGGGTTACTGGAAAGGTTCTGGGAGGGGGGATGGGCTAAATGGGTAAGGGGCATTAAGGGATCTACTCCTGAAATCATTGTTGCACTATATGCTAGCTAACTTGGATGTAAATTTAAAAAAAATAAAGAAAAAAATTAGTATAAACTTGCACTAGCTGAGACAGTGTGGAACTGTCATAAGGATCCACCAATACATAATGGAATCAAATAGAGGTCCCAGAGACAAACCCCCATTTACATGGCCATTTGATTTTTGACAGAGTTGCAAAGGCAATTCAATGAGGCTACGACACCTGGATACCTATATGTAAAAACTATGAACTTCTACCTATACCTCACCACATAGAAAAAATTAATTTGAGATCGATCACAGATTTAAATGTAAAAATAAAACTATAATACTTTTAGAAAGCATAGGAGAATGTCATCGTGTCATAGGGGTAGTTAAAGATTTCTTATGCAGGTCATAGAAACAATGACCGTTAAAGAAAAAAATAATCAATTATATTTTATTAAAGTTAAAATTCTCTCCCCATTAAAAGACACTGTTAAAAAATAAATAGGTAAGTTACAGCATAGAAAATAATATTCCTAAAACATATATTCAGTAAGAAATAGTGACCAGCATATATAAAGAACTCCTACAGCTCAATAATGAAAAGACAACTCAATGAAAAAATGGGCAAAAGATTTAACCAGATATTTCAGAAGATATATAAATGGCCAATAAGCACATGGAAAGATGCTCAACATCATCAGTCATCAAAAAAATGCAAATTAAATCCCAAAGAGATAACCACCATAATGGCTAAAACTAATGGGACTGACAACAGCAAGTAGTGGCAAGGATGTGGAGCAGCTACAATCCTCATACGCTGCTGATGACAATATAAAATCAAACAACTACTTTAGTAAAAGTTCTGGCAGTTACTTATGAAACTAAACACTCACCTACTCTATGACGCAGTATTCCACTTGTAGCTATTGACCTGAGTGGAATGAAGACACATATCTACAAAAATACTTTTCTATGAATGCTCATGGCAGTTTTACTCATAATAACCCCAAATTAGAAACAGCCCAGGTGTTTGTTAATAAAAGCATTTATTCTATGGTATGAATTTCTAGAACAGGCCAAACTAATCATTGGTGGCAAAAATCAAAACCATGATCTCCTCTGGGGTGGCTGTGCAGGGTTGGACTAGGAAAGAGTATAAGGGACTTTCTGCAGTGACAGGAACATTCTATATCTTGATAGGTGTTTGGTTTACATAGGTATATGCATTTGTCCAAATTCAGCAAGTGTATATTTGATATTTTAAAACATAATTTTATGTAAGTTTTATTTCAAAATTAAAAATTTGTAAACAAATATTGAACTTTACTTAAAGATATAAATGCTGAAGCATTTAGGGGGATATGTAGTCATATCTGCAATGTACTTTGAGATGCCTCAAAAATGAGATTAATAGATAGATAGGCAGGCAGATAGGCAGATAGATAAGAAAACAAGCATATAGCAATACCTTCCTGGTAGAATCTAGGTAGTGGGTCTATGGGTTTTACTGTAAATGCTTACAACTTTTCTATATGTTTAAAAATGTTTCTCGTCAAATGTTGGAAAAAATACTGATTACCTGCTCACTGTTCTAAGCAACGGGGATACAAGAGATGACTAAGAGAGAGTTTTCTAGAGGAGGTTATCCGATGGCAGTGAATTAGTATTTATGCAGTTCCTATTAAAATCCAGGGGCAAAGGCAGGAGAAACAGTTTATTTGTATATTTACAACTGGGTGTGGAGGAGCAGACTGAAATGAGTGGAGATGATGGGTTCAATTTTGAATACGATGTGCTTTATGATGCTATAAGATACCTAAGTGGCACTACCTAGTAGACTGTTGGATATACAGGTCAGGGGGTTTGCATAAACGTGGGCTACAGACAAGTGTGGTCATGATGCCTTTGGGTACTCTAGCTGTTTGGTCACTGAGCACAATTTAATCACTTTTTTGATTTTAATAATGTTTTCATTTTAAAATCTAGTATTCTTTACCTGTTGGCCTATTTATTATTCCATGGGAAGTATAATAACAGAAATTGTTAATAAAGAGACTTAAAATAGCAAGATTAAAATGTGGTCAGTATAAGGATTTTAGGGATTTTCATTACATTTGAAGGCTAATAATGGGTAAGTACATTGCAGTGGGGGATAGTTCTTTGGTGCTCACCTGATCAAATACAGCTCTTTATTCCATGGGTAGGTATTTAAGACTGGCCCAACCCCAACCATGTGGTTGTGACATTCGCCAACATTTTCAATATATTCATGCCTCAGTGGCACTTTGGTGAGGAGTTCAAATTCCTCAGGTGCCTTTTGAAGTACCTGATCTGCTGCATAGAATCCATCTACCAGCAGTGTCCTGCCACCTGTTCCTTCATGCTTAAGACAGTGAAACACTTGGATGCTGAAAAGGGAAAAATTAAAGTCTTCTGTTCAGTGGAAAAAAGAGAACATATCAAAATTTTAGAAAATTATATATGGAATAATTACTGAATCTACTTGTGTCATTTTCACTTCCTAACTATCTTTCCATATAGCCAGTTGTACTTTTTTGTGCTTTGAAATACTAATACTATTACAGGTTTCTTCTAAACATATTCAATATGAATTAAAGCCTATATGTGACAGACCCTGGAAATACAGACATGAATAAGATATAGTCTCTGTTTTAAAGAAGCCCGAAATTAAAAAAATATGTACCAAAAATAAACATTAAAAATTATAAAAACTCAAAAATAAACATTAAAAGAATTTTTTAAAAATCTCAAAAATAAACATTAAAAAGTTTTTATCTCAAAAAATAAACATTAAAAAAATTTAAAAAATAAAAACTAAAGAAGCCTGTAGTTTAGTAGGAAAAGATGAAGCATAGAAATATCAATAAGATTATGATAGGAACTATAATACAGTTATATACAAGATATAGAGGGGCCACAAAGAAAGGACATTTTTTACAAGGTATATTCAAGGAAGAGAGCAAGAAGTGTATATCAGCATAGAACAGAGAATCACAAAAGGCTTTTAAACTGGGAAGCTCTATGGTCACATTAACAGTTTTAAGACTTGATTAGGATGATAGTATGGGAGATGGACTTGTGGGAAGCAAGATGACAAAAAATGTAGAGAACAACTTGATGACTGAAATAGACAAAAATACTGAGGGCTTGAGCTTAAAGAAAGGTGTAGAAAAGACACACCAAAGAGATACTATAGTAGATTTGATGACTAATTAAATGTGGTGGACAAAGAACAAGCAAAAATCTAGAATGACTTCAGGTTTTTCACTTGAGTAACTTGTCATATGCAAAGATGGAGAATTGTAATTGGATTATAAGGAGGGAGTATGAGGGGTTGAAGTTCAGTTTAGGGGCCATATTGAAATAGTTGAGTCATTTGTGGCTGAAAATGTTAACAGGGAAAGGAAAAGTGACTTAATGGGCTAGAAAGCTCAACTAGAATTCCCAAATTAACAAGGGGAAGATAAAATTAATAAAAATTCAGTAAACTAATAAACATAAAAGTAAATAACAAAGTAAAATAAGTAATAAATATGAATGCAGATAGAAGGAATAAAATCAAGGAGAATCTAATATAAACACAATTAAAATGAGAAAGGTCAGGGGTGCCTGGGTGGCTCAGTCGGATAAGGGTCCAACTTCGGCTCAGGTCATGATCTCACGGTTCATGAGTTCGAGCCCTGCGTCAGGCTCTGTGCTGGTGGCTCAGAGCCTGGAGCCTGCTTCGGATTCTGTGTCTCCTCTCTCTCTGTGCCTTCTCCACTCATTCTCTCTCTCTCTCTCTCTCTCTCTCTCTCTCAAAAATAAATAAATATTAAAAAAATCAAATGAGAGAGTTCAGTTCTGGTTTTTGAGCTTTCTGTGAAACATCTAGGTCAAGATTGTTTAGTAGCTAGTTGAAGTTATTTAACTCAGAAGAGAGGTGGATTTTGTAGTTGTCGGTAGGTGATAGCCAAAGCCAAGATCATGGAAGAAGTCATTTAGAGAGATCATTGCAAGTAAGAAATGGACCGAGGAAAAAAAGGCAGCACAGGATGCTGAGGAAAAGTGGTCAGATATAGGAGGAAAACTAAAAAAAGAAAGGATATTTAAGAAGAGGTAGTGGTTAATGGCATTCGCCAGGGGTCAAGTAAGATGTAGACTGAAAGGTACACACTGGGTATGGCAATAAGTTTCTGGTGACTTTGGAGAGAGTAATTTTAATTGGGAGGGGGTTGGATGAACTAGCTGACTATGAATTTGAGGAATGAATGGGAAATGAAAATAAAAAGATATTGAAGGTAGATGATTCTTTTAATAAGTTTAGATGTGAAGGGGAGGAATAAGGCAGGGCTGTAACTAGAGGGAGACAGAGTCCAAAGAAGATATGAGAAGCTGATAGGAAGGATTCAATAGGTATGAAAAGGGTGAATATGTAGGAGAGAGAAATCTCCAAGGAGGCCGGAAAATATGAGATCCAGAGCAAAGGTAGCTTCAGAAAGGACAAGGCATATAACAATGTTGATGATGATGATGACAATGGCTAAAGTGATAATAATCATAGCTAGCATTTCATGACCACTTAATATGTTTCAGGCAGTATGCCAAGTGCTTTATTTATTTATTTATTTAAAAAAAATTTTTTTTTTCAACGTTTATTTATTTTTGGGACAGAGAGAGACAGAGCATGAACAGGGGAGGGGCAGAGAGAGAGGGAGACACAGAATCGGAAACAGGCTCCAAGCTCTGAGCCATCAGCCCACAGCCCGACGCGGGGCTCGAACTCACGGACCGCGAGATCGTGACCTGGCTGAAGTCGGACGCTTAACCGACTGCGCCACCCAGGCGCCCCATGCCAAGTGCTTTAAATACATTATGTAATTTAATCCCTGAGCAATACTAATGAATAGGTTTTATTACTAGTTTCATTTTACCAACGAGGAAACTGAGGCACAGAGAAGTTATTTGTCCAAAATCACAAAGCTAACATATGTGCCAGCTGGGATGCAGATCCAGATCTGTTGATGACATGGCCTGAACTCTCAACCACTCTTACTATACTGCTAATGTACTTGGTCCTTGTCATTGAATAGAAAGGGTTAAATTAAAGGCACAGACAACTAACTGCTTATCTTTGGTAGTGAGTTGCTCAAATTTGAGAAAAGGGTTTTTCAGTGTTTGAATGTCAACCTCTGTCTAGTTGTTTCTCATCCCATTTCCTCTTTCTTCCTTCTGCACCCCCTAGAATGAGGATGCAGGCTGTTGGGATCTTCATATATTGATAACATTGACAAGGACCCTCTAAAAGCTGCTTTATTCTTCTTCTCCTGAACCAAATATTCTTAAGTTCCAAACTCTTTAAGAAAATCTGTGTAGCCACAATCAATTGCATATTATCACCCGCTCATATGCTCTTTATAAATGCATATGTACACTCACTTTAGTAGTATCTTTGTGCCTCAGGCTTATCATCTATATATGCAGGAGCAAGATCAATAACAACAAAATAACGACTACAAAGGTACCTCTAATAAGTGGCAAATAGTAGATAAGTTCAGTATGGTATTTATTCATCATGTCACATAATTATCATTTTATTTTTGTGGTGAGAACATTTAAGATCTACTCTCTGTTAGCTACAATGATAATCAGATTACAATATATAACCACTATACACTTTAAATTTATATAATGTTTTATATCAGCTATTAATTTATATAATGTTTTATGTCAATTATATATCAATAAAGGGGAAAAAGTATGGTATATCTTTGGCTCAGCAACTTCTGGTTCTATGTGAAAAAATTTTCATTAATTCCTCCTCTGCACCTTCTTATAAATTGGATTCAAATTCCTGTTAACACCACTCAAAGCAGCTGTGTCTAGAATATTGACCTCTTTGCAATATAACTAAATATAAGAAAACTGTGCAATTCCAAAATTAATGGTTAGGCAATACTTTTTTATGTTATTTGTAATTACTTTGACAAAATGTAAATTAAGCAAAATTAAGATCCACTTATGTAGTAAGGTGTATTTTCAATCATTTCAAAAAACTTATTCTTGTAAGTTCTAAGACTGAGCAAGGGTATTTAAAAATGACCATGTTGCTAAGAGAATAAAAAGAAATAGTCATAAACGTCAGCAGCAGATATGATATTGGTTCAAATAGAATGGAAAATGATTAAGAAATTATTCAAGACCATCACATGTAAAGATCCTAATATGGAAAATTCGAATCCACTTACCCACAGGGCTCCTGAAAATAGGCAGTGTCAGTGTGCCGATCCAAAGCCAGCTTGGTGTATGCAGTGTCACCCCTGGAGAAGTCTGAAGTGAAATACCACATCCTCCCATAAATGGTTTCTCTGTCAAATGAAATGAAGAAAGATTTTTAACTATTTGAAATTTTTAATTTTGTCTTTTACAACTCTAATAACTTCTTTAGTTATTCACAAATAACATTAGTTTTTTGGCTCCAGATTTCTGTCTGTAAGGTGTAGATGACCTTTGAACACACCACCAGTCTTAACAATTCTGTAACTGATTAATATTTTAGGAAGTTGGGGGGAAAACTGAAAGAACAGTTGATCCTTGACCAACACAGGTTTGAACTGCATGGATCCACTCGTACATGGATGTTTTTTCAATAAATACATTATTGTAAATATATTTTCTCTTCCTTATGGTTTTCTTTTTTTTCAAAAAATTTCTTAATGTTTATTTATTTTTGAGAAAGAGAGAGTGCAAGTGGGGAAGGAGCAGACAGAGAGGGAGACACAGAATCTGAAGCAGGCTCCAGGCTCTGAGCTGTCAGCATAGAGCCTGACGCGGGGCTCAAACCCATGAACTGTGAGATCATGACCTGAGCCAAAGTTGGATGCTGAACCAAATGAGCCACCCAAGCTCCCCATGACTTTCTTATTAACATTTTATTTTCTCTAGCTTCCTTTATTGTAAGAATACAGTATATAATACGTATAACATATAGAATACGTGTTAATTGTTATTGGTAAAGCTTCGGGTCAACAGTAGGCTATTAGCAGTTAAGTTTTTGGGGAGTCAAAAAGTTACACATGAATTTTCAACGTGTGGTGTGGGTGGGGGGGGGGTCAGTTCCCCTAAGCCCCCGCATTGTTCAAGGGTCAACTGTATATTGTTGTTTCAAAGCTTAGGGAATCATTCCTCTTTGTTTATATGCCTACTTTTAATAGCTTTCACATTCAAGGTTCTTTCCTATGCTCACTTTCCTTACATAGAAAAAGATGTCTTTATGCAGATGCTTTTAGAAGTGGTTAATGTAGGTCCTCACCCATCTTTTGGACAGGGAGGAATAAGGAGAAGAGAAGATAGTTTCTGTTAGCAAGTATTTAGTGAGATGCTGTATCACTGTTGCTGTATCTTTCCTTGAGATATACATCATGGGTTTTGATTCTACAATTATTTTCCTGGTGGCTCACATCTGACCAAAGGTCACTTTAATTCTTTACTTTTCAGTGTTCATCTTATTTTCTGAACCCTCAAAGGCCAAACAGGAAACATCCTTTCTCATGGACTATAATCCCTAAAGCCCTCTCAATTTATTTACAGCACAGGTTCATTACTTGAAAGTTCTTAAAATGTGTTTATAACTAAATGGTTCAAAATGTTGATTATGCTGTACAAGGATAGGGCAAATGACCCAGCACACTATCTGCTACATAATGAGCTATATCTAGCCCTTATCAAGTAAAAGGAAAGTACTAATTATAACAAAGTATGTTTACATCACATTTAATACTACACAAGATCAATCCAAGTACTACATAGAAATGCAGACTGGCAAGTGGAAACAACACTGTATTTAGGATCAGGAAGCCTGACCTATCTGAATTCTAGTATTTTTTAATTAATTACTGAATTGTTATTAGTGAACATATTCTGGTAGCACTGTTATATATACATCACACTATTTTTTTAATTTTTAAATTAAAAATTAAATTAAAAATTTAAATTTAAATTTAATTTAAATTCCAGTTAGTTAACATACAGTGTAATATTAGTTTTAGGTGTACACTAGAGTGATTCAACACTTCCATACAACACCCACAGCTCATCATGACAAGTGAACTCCTTAATCGCCACCACCTATTTAACCCTTCCCCCTTCACCTCCCGTCTGGTAACCATCAGTTTGTTCTCTAGAGTTTTTTTCTTCGTTTGCCTCTCTCTCTTTTTACACCTTTGCTCATTCGTCTTGTTTCTTAAATTCCACTTATAAGTAAAGTTATATGGCATTTGTCTTTCTCTGACTGACTTATGTAGCTTAGTATTACACTCTCTAATTCCATGCATGTCATTACAAATGGCAGGATTTCATTCTTTTTTTTAATTTAAATTCAAGTTAACATACAGTGTAGTCTTGGCTTCAGGAGTAGAACCCAGTGATTCATCACTTGCATATGACACCCAGTGCTCATCCCAAAAAGGGCCCTCCTTAGTGCCCATCATCCATTTAACCCATCCCTCCACCCATCGCCCCTCCACCAACCCTCAGTTTGTTCTCTATAGTTAAGCGTGTATTTCTTGGTTTGCCTATCTTTTCCCCCTATGTTCACCTGTTTTGTTTCTTAAATTCCACGTATGAGTGAAATCATATGGTATCTTTCTCTGACTGATTTCGTTTAGCATAAAACACTCTAGCCCCATCCATGTCATTGCAAATGGCAAGATTTCATTCTTTCT